CAACAAGAACAATGCAGATAAGGGAGGCAAGTGTTACTTGCAAAGGGTTAACGGAAATGGTCCAGATAAACAAGATCTCATCTTATCCATATGCACCCCTTTGATGTCACGTGTACATGAAACTAGGCAAGCTGGTGAGATCGCCTTTATGGACTCATCAGGGAACCTTGATCGATACAACAACCCTGTTTTCTTTATGTGCACTCATCATCCGTGTGGACCATTACCTCTTGGAGTCTGGGTAACATCAAGCCAATCACAGCCATGTTTTGAAAACTGTCTGGAAAAATGGAAATTCATTCTGCCAAGTCATGCTTTCGGTGGCAAAGGTCCCCAAAAAGGACCTGACATTTTCATGACAGATGATGACACTGGCCAGAGCCAAGCTCTTAGAGTCCACTGGCAACAGGCAACACTCGTGCTGTGCATTTTTCACTTTTTGCAAGCAACATGGAGATGGCTACTGGACTCCAAGATCTCCATTTTAAAGGATGACAGATAACACCTGATGTCTATAATGCAGGACCTTGTGTTTACCAAAACCCAACAAGTATTTGAAGAGATTGTGCAGCTTTTTCCATCAGACACTGTATTACAGAAATATTCCCTATACAAAGAATATTTAACCAAGGCCATAGATAGAAGGAACGAATGGGCACTTTCTTTCAGAGGAAATCTGAGAACACGAGGCAATAATACAGACAACTACACAGAGTCTATGATCTTTGTTTTTAAAAGTGTAGTTTGAAGAAGAATGAGAGCTTACAACCTTATTGAGTTATTTAGATTTATGACGGAAGACCTAGAAATGTACTTTCAAAGAAAACTTCTTTCCTTGGCTTTTGGTAAACCACAAAATCTACACCTTGCATCACGTTGCTTTGGGAGATCAGCTAGCTCTGTTAGTCAAAGCACAGTAACCATAGATGAAAAAAACCCAAGCAGACTCTGTGCCCAGCAGGAAGGACAACAACATCATGTACACTGTTGACTGTACAATAGGAACCTGTACATGCCCACAGGGAACAAGTGGAAATGCCTGCCCCCACCAAACAGCTGTAGCATTGCAATTTGGAATAAGCAACATAAACTTTGTTCCTCAAACAGCAAAGGAGAGATTCAACCTTGCTATTCTTGCTGTTGGGAATAACAACAACTTCAGTGTCACCCAGTTTGTAAGCCTTCACCAAAAAGAAATTGAAAGCAGTCCTCACTTCTACAAAGACCAAGACAAGGATCATGATGAACAGCAAGTAATATTACCTTCAATGCCTGCTGACTCACAAGAAAGTATTAGCACAGAAACCAATGACAACTGCATCAGTTCACAAACAGATGCCAATTTGCCAGATGCTGAGTTATCAGTTGACCAAATAAT